TGTGTGTGTGTGTGTGTGTGTGTGTGTGTGTGTGTGTGTGTGTGTGTAGAAAAACAACAGTTTTACAAAATATGCCGTATTTCTTTTCTTGAACTCTATAATACTAAAGACAATTGATTGGTTTTATTTTGACACCACGTAGAATAAAAACAGAGAAATAAATTATAATATCCGTAACTACACACTATCCCATGTTTTATAAAGTATATGATTTTGCTGTTTCCATACATGCAAGCCAGCATCCATCCATCCATTTTCTGTATCCGCTCTGTCATGTTCAGGGTCACAAGGGCTAGGAGAGAAGGGGGGTGTTAGGGGACTGGAAGCTTTCCCAGGAGTTAACAGGCTAGGCGACCGGGTACACCCTGGGACAGGCTGTCAGTTCAACCCAGAGCCAACACAGAGACGCAAGATAAATACCCATGCACACACACTAACACGTACTATCGCAAATGATTCTAACGCGCATGATTTGGTGCTGAGCTGTGCAAAGAAAGCTCACGTGTATACAGAAAACCCAATGTAGCGAAGATTTGTAACCAAAAAAATCTTTCTCTGAGGCAACAGTGACAACTACACTGCTATACACCTGCCAGCATTTTGATCACAGAGAAATAAAGTATGATAAAACCCCCTGAAAGTTACAAACTGAAGCTATACATTGAAAAAAATATGTAGAACACTTTTGTTTAAATACATTTTTCAAGCTAAAACAATAAGATCAATGAAATCATAATAAATAGGTACACTCCAGCCTACTCAACATCCATTAATACAAATTTAAGTACAAATTTAGGCAAGCATTTTTGTTGAAAGTAGTGACACAGAAAAAAATTATGTAATGCTCTTATAATCTCAATACAAATTACTTATTTGAAATGTGTTGTGTTTTTCAAAAAAAAAGGGGGGGGAGTTTTAAAAAAACAAACAAAATGTTAGAAAGTTACTGCATTACTTTCTAATGATGCAGAATCCTTTGGCATAGGGATCCATGGTAAAACGCTCCTGCAGAGAGGAATGACCTTTGCATCAGTCCCTATTGAGGTAACTGAGGGAGGTTCAAACCAGACTCATTGTTTAATCAGTATGTTGTGTAGACGCCACGCAGTCTCATTTATTATGTTTAGTAGCTTGTGAAGGTTTCTTCTCTCCACAATCAGCTCAAACGGACTCAGTATCAGTCCTTAACACAGTTCAGTTTCTTTAAGTCACAGGCTGTGATGATGCTGCTCCGACAAATTGTTGGAAAGAAAATTGCACTCTTTAACACAGATTGGGAGAAGATATGCAACATCATGCTGCAAAGAACCAGAGACCCTAAACTTGCTTTTTGAGCCTGCCATGCCCCTTTTTTTTTTATAAACAGACTTACTAATGCATTTCTAGTACTTTATGTTATTCAGGTCAACTTCAACAGTTTTTTTTTTTTTGGCTTATTTCCACACCTTCAAACATCAAAATGTGCTGTTTACACCTTAAAAAAATCAAAAGTCTGCACTTATATCTTGTTCATGTTCAAAATGTAGTGATCACACCACAACACCATCCACCGGTTCCCAGTACTCAGCCTCTCGAGCTGCATAACCTTAAAAATTCTGCTGATGAAAGTACTCGGAGTTTTATTGAAAGGCTGAGGTTTAAAGGAAAAAATAAAAGAAATGGTGAAATGTCGATGCCCCGGTATGCAGCTGTTCTGACCACCTGTTCAAACCCACAACTCTTCAGTCGTACAAACTGTGATCTGTCTGTCAGGTACTCAATAATCCAGGGAGTTGTAGAGCCAACCACCTGTATTTTCTGGAGCTTCTCAGATGGTGCAGACGTTACTGACCTGCTAAGCCCTAAGGGGTTTTAGAGGTAATTTCCGCCCTTAAAATACACAGCAAAATAAAGCAAGAATAGCTCCACAGTTATAAGGTCTAAGTTATGGCTAACTCTTGGTACCTCTGTAAAGGTAAGATCTTAAAGATAATTTCTTAAGTGAAACCACTATTGCAACTCTTACTGTGCCTGAGTTATTTGTGATTAAATAAAGAGAATTTGTAATTTTTTTTAGCCTCGCCTAGATTTTTTTTAAATCAACAGTGCAAAACACAATAAAAAATTCTTGTGAAAACCCAGGAATGCCCTTATATTTTAAACATCTACATCTTGAGAAAAATTGTAGCAAAGCAGGACTGAATAAGTTGAATTATATTCATTTCACAAAGGTTTAAGTGAGCAGTATGCCAGGCGGAAATGGCATTTTGGCACAATTTAGCCAAATGTACTCAAAACTGTGCCAAAGGTTGGGTTTTTTTTTTTTACTTTATAAGAGAATTTGGTCTAATAAAAGTCTTAATTTCTATTGTAGGACTCATTCTGCATACGACATAACCTTTTCTTTTTACATTTACACTGTGCATCATCAAAATCTACCATTGTGCATGCCATGAAATCACTGAATGGAACGTAACTCTGCCTCGACGTTTTACGCATGAGGGCTGTTATTTATACTCACGGTTACGCACAAACTTCACGTCACCAAACAAAGAGTAACACAGTGCCAAGATATATCCCTGAATTCCTGTGAGCTTCGTCTTTTCAAAGATACCAAAATGAGGCGTACGGAACCAAAACTTGCACAGCAACAGATGCGGAGAACTTCCTGATGCTGAAACGGTCCGCGACGGTTCAAATAACTTACAAATGTTTATATAGCTCTAAAATCATAAATATTTATCCTAAAATAATTTGGCAACTCGTTTTAAAAACATTAAAGACAGCTTTTGTCTTAGACGTAGAAAAAATTTGGGAAAAATAACTTTTACACCTACTTTAGCAAACAACAATGAATGACACCATCTGCTGGCCCTGTACAGGGCCCGTCGGGCTTGGATGGAGAGGCGATGATACACAGAACATAACTAAACTCACTCTCTGGCCAAAGGAAAAAAAAGTGATTGAAAATCCTTGTCATTTAGCACATTTAGGCGACAGGATTACCTCAGTTTTAGGCACATAATGTTGCTGCATGTTAACCTAACTCTGTCCTTACAAGCCCAAGTTACTCTGACGTCCCTGTCATTTTGGAGCTTGACCCATCGAAGCAAATTACTTTTGCGCTGCTTAAGAGTTCAGWCTTTATGTTCCACTGAGAAACAGCAAGAGAGCCTACGTGCAAACAGACAGCGAACACTTTCAGGCCTTTTTTCTGGCTTTTACAGGTAGTTTGTCAATTCCAAGGTTGACACATGCCCACTGAGAACCTTCCATTTGGTCATTCAACCATTAACGTCGAGCCGATGAAGCGCCGCTGAGATGCTCTTCCTTCCAGGTGGTTCTCACATCACTCAATTCAACAGATAGGAGATTCAATCTCTGGCACAATAGGAAGTAAGCAAGATGTCCAACTATCTGACCTCTGTGTTTTATGTTTAGCTTTTCTCTCTTTTCATTGAGCTACTCACAAACCCTCTTAGTTTGTAACAGTTATGTGATCTAGTGCTTGAAAATGAAAATATTTCGCTTGAAAGTAAACTGTCCATATCTCATCCTAACAGTCCTGCCCTAACTCTAACACACATTTTTTTTTATGTTTTGCAGACTTTTATTTTCCTTATATATGCTTTGCAATGCCAAATGATTTAAAGAGAGATATAAGCTTTTAATGTAGTGTTTAATGTAGGACAATTCAGACAGAATTCATGAAGAACGCACAATTTGCTTGTGAGCTGAAGGTACTGTAAATATGTACTGTACAACTACTGACATGCTGATGTTGTGGTATGTGGTTTGCTCTGAATTCAACTCTTCTGTTCCAAGGCACACATCTGCAAAATTATTTTAAGTTAAAAACTTTGGAAAGCAAAAAAAAACTCAACTATAGCCATTTTTAATTACTTTAAATAACACAGGGAGCGGTCTTTCTACTGCAACAATGACTATGCAYGTCTGTGAGCAAATGAGCATTAAAAGCAATAAGCATTACCCCAAGTATCAATAAAATCGACAAAGTAAGGGACAAGCTGTTTGCATTGCATTTGTTTACATCCCTTTTGAAACATTAAACCACATAAAAATAAGAATCTGACTACACATACTTTATGTTCATAAGATCAGCATGCTCCTCATTAACAAAGTACACAAATAAGCAGAAACAAAACATCTAGATTTTAGATTGCCTTCAGGTGAATTTTTTTTTTAAATTCCTGTTTGTTCTTATGTAAAGCAATAAAGCATAATACCTTATCTAACAAAAAAACTGTTAAAACAGCTAACTTAAATTCCTAAATATGTTTTCAAATGAATAAGAACTAGCTGATACATACAGCAGCTTCATCAAGGTGATAAAAGACAATATGCACTATATGTTATATAAACGAATATTTGGAAAAAGTCATAAAGAATTCAACACATTTATAACACTAACAAACCGAAAAACACTGAAGCATCAAAACAGCAGAAAAAAAGCCTAAAATGATTTGTGCAGCAGCAAACAACAAGGGCAGCTTAGTCAGCGAGTTGACATTTGCCAAGAACAAACAGTCCATCGAACATCTACAAAAGCACATGCAGCAAATACTTACTTTGGTTTCCTGCYGTCTCCAAAGCAAATTACACCCTTGAGAGGAGTCACCAAGATCCCAAGCGRCCAGAAGCACAGACAGGTTCCTGCTTCCTCCCTTTAAGTGGTCAGGTTTGAGCATCCTGCTGTAAATAATGAGTCCAACCACAAAAAATAMAATAAAATAAATAAATCACAAATCCACACTATATGCATGCAAAACTGGATGTTATTAGTTTAATAAGTTAGTATAACAGCAGGGWCAAGTCTGACAACAGCTAAGCACCGCAAATGGTGGCATTAGACATGTTGCCTTGTTAAGTAGTCGTTTTTTATTTTTCTTTTTAGATTAAAAACTCCCCATAGAGACTTAGGACAGGGTGTTAGTTCACAAAAGTAAAAMTCAGTAATCCAGGCCAAAAAAGAAAAGAAAAAAAAAGAAAAAGAAAAGTGAGACATGACCAAGCCACTTAATTAGTATCACAAACACCAAGTCAGGCCATAAATAAATAAAAATAACTAAGTCTTAATTACAGACCAAACATGGCTACATGCATGCTGCGAACCCTCACTTTAATTATTGAAAACAAAATATACTAATGACCACAAACAAACTACAAAGTGAACTCCAGTTTTTTGGGCACAGTTATAATAAAGTGATGGCAGATGGTAAATAACTTGCATAATACTGGATAAAGAAAAACTGTTGAACACCTGGTTGGTGACTTCTGAACAACCTTGGCAGTCCTGGACTGGGCTGTTTACACATAATAATGGAAATTAATTTGTGTTACTGATTTTAATTAAATCGAGGTTCAATGGAAAATCAATACTCTTAGTTTTTTTTTATAGAGCTTGTGAATCTTTTAGAATTTTTGGGAGAAAGCAGGGCATGTCCATACTAATTTAAGTTAGCTAAACATGTCCTTTAAGCTAATTTAACACAAGTGCATTTGAAGGCAATTGAAAAAAATAACATCMTTTTTCATTATTATTTATCATTGTTACAAACAGATACAAGCAGAGGCTGAATTATTACCATTTTTTCTCCTCTCCAGCCTGCTGGCAGGTTATCCAACAATACCAAACTTCTGCTAGCAAGGTAACTGTTTTCTTCTTCTTCTTCACTTTGATTTATGGCGGTTGGCAAACAACTTATAGGTGCATTACCGCCACCTTCCAGACTGGAGTATAGATTAGATGACCTAACACTATWATCTTCCCATAATACCTGACTGCCTAAGAAAACTAAAAATGCTGTTAAATACTATATCCTCAGATGATTTTTGCAACAAATTTTTAATATCTAAATTCTATTTATTTCTATTTAACTCTCTGATTAACACCTCTCTTTCCTGACTATATTTATTACATTCTAGAAAAATGTGCTGCACTGTTTCTGACTCTCCACAATAACTACAAAAACCTGTACGATGTTTATTAATTATTTTCAAAGTACTATTTAGCCCTGTATTCCCAAACGTTAATCTGGAWATAACATCCTCTTCTTTTTTATTCCTTTTACCTTCCCTACATTCCCCTACTTTTTTTTGAATGCTATAAAAAATCTTGCTTTTCCTTCTCTATCCCATAATTCCTGCCATTTTTTTTAATATATATTTTACTTATACTTTTGATCTCATTTTGGCTAATTTTGAAATTTACCTCAACACTATTCCTTTTTGCTGCACTCTTACAAAATTTGTCCGCCAACTCATTTCCTACCATTCCTACATGAGCAGGAATCCAAATTAACTTTACCCTGGATCCATGTTTTTTAATTCTAAAAATTGACTGAATAATATTCAATATGATATMTTGTCTCRCTTCTGAATTCTGTTCTAAAATACTTATTAAAGCACTACTTGAATCTGAACAAATCAATATCTCCTTCTTTCTCGTTTCSTCACTCCATTCTAGAGCCATTAATATAGCCATTAACTCACCTGTATGGACTGTCAATTTATCTGTTATTCTTTTATTTTTCATAGTATTTAAGTCTGGAACTATAAATGCAATTCCAATTTTATCATTTAATACTTTAGAAGCATCAGTATATGCTTGTAAATATTCCGCATATTCTTTATTTATATACCTTTCCACCTCTTTTTTTTTTTATTTTTATTTTTTTTGTCTGCCTTTTCCCAATAATCTTAAATCAACTTCAGGTTTTCCACTTAACCAAGGTGGACTATCAGGAAAATTCACCACAGGACTAATTAAATAATGATTTATTCCTAACCTACTTATCTCTTCATTTATAATACATCCAAAACTATTAATTCTCTTTTTTTATTTTTTTTGACAAGGTTGTAGCACAGCATTTGTAGGATAATTTTCTTTATGTACTTTAACACTTGCCCAATAATTAATGAAGGTAACTGTTTTGTCTGTGTACTGTCGCTTTAAGGACGGACCCGCCCACTTATCACGTGACACAACAAGGAAGTCAAAACTGTGAACTCAGAAGCCATTCAAATTTAAACCTCTAGGTTTTTTTTCTGTCCGCTAAGACTTCCACGAGCTTTTTAAATTATGAAATAGCTTTATTTATTACGAGATCGCGTCTTTCCGTAGCGTCCGTAAACCCGCRGAACGAAAATGTTTCTTTCGTTCTTTTTAATTTCCTCTTTTTCGTTTTCCCTCGGACAAGCATCGTTACCTCTTGTTGTGAACACTTGGCCGTTTAAAAGTGCAGCAACCTCAGGTAAGTAGGTTTTTGTTTCACTTTGATGTGTTTAGAGTTTTACTGTTTGAAATTACCCTTTCACGGCAGAGCTCAGTCATGTGACACTCGGTCGTTCAAACTCACTTCCGGTCAGTTTTGAACTCTGAGCACCCAAATGAGGTTTACTTTGTGTGGTCAAAGTTCTGCAACAGTAACATGCATTTTACACGGTCTTGAGCTTCACATTTATTTTCTCTTACAGTTTAATAA